TCTCAATGGCGGCCCGGGTCCCCGATGTGGGGCCCGGGTCCGCCCAAGTGGCCGCCGTTAAGGCGGCCGCCATCCTGTCGCGGTCGAGTTTTCGGAGGGCCCATTTTGCTGGTCGGGCGCCCCCCTGGCCACGTCTCCGGAGCACCTCCTCCGGGGTGGCGACCAGTCGGACCACTATGTATCGGTGGTCCGATAGGTTTTCACCTCTGGTCACCACCCGCCAATCCTGTATTAGTCGGGCCGCCTGCTCTCATTTCTGCCAGCTGTTCAACATGACCCTTTGCCCATTCGGCGTCCCAGATTCCTGGGCCCTGTTGTTGCTCAATAATTCCAGCCAGGATACCGGCAAGTGGAAGCATTTCCTTGGGTGCATAGTCTCGTAGATATCCGTCATTGATAATTCTTGCCCAATTGAATCCATATTGCAGTTTTTCGTCCTTTCTCATATAAGTGTTGAAGAAAGTAAGAATCGACTTCCAGTGACCCATAGTAATGTTTAAATATGACTTTTGGGCAATTATACCCCAATCTTGTCCCGTGGCTACCACTGCCTGTTCAAGCATTTGTAGTATTCCGAGACCATTGCGGGCTGTATGGGTTAAGACTGTCGCACTCAAAATTCCAGAGGCGGCGGGAATGCCTCCTTGATATTCTTTAAGAATTACATACTCTGAGGCTAAAAGTGTAAACATGGCTGAGGTTGTGGGGAGGCCTTTGGTCAAAGCTGTTTCCAGCATATTGATACACACAGCGCAAGGGGGTGAGAAGTTTTGTTCCATGGGCCATCCTCCTAATGTGCTGAGGTTTGAACGATATTGGGACTTAAGAAAAGCATTTGCTAATTGTTCTTTGGTACGTGTGGCTGCACGCCAAAATGTTAAGGCAAGGAATCCTGTCATTTGTACAAACATTTGCTCCTGTTCACTGGCAGCTCTAGAGGGATCGATTTTGTCAATTGCTCCTGATACTGAAGTGGCAAACTGACTTACGTGGGCTCGTGTGTATTTGGCCAGTAGAGACTCATATTTGGCTCTTTGTTCTTCTGACATCCCTGGGACAATGACCGCAGGTGGGACCGCTGGTAAAAGATTTGCAAAGGTAGAAGATTCGTCCGCACTCAGATTTGCCTTGTAGAAACCATTAGGCGCAAAGACTGAATCAGGCCAAATTGGTCCATCTGGTGATCTGGCTATAGCTGTTGTATCGGCAACTATGCCCACCAAATTGTCACTATTGGAAATGACCCCAGTAAAGTAAAATTTATAAAAGCGTACCAGGATCTTCTTGAGGTTGGCACGGTTTCTTGCGTCTTCTCTAAAATAAACTTTGGATCGTAAATCCAGCAAGAGAGCATCATTCCAACCTTCTACACGAGGGGCAGTTGCTTTAGGAATTCTCTGCACGCACCTCTGTACCCCCTTGTTGAATTCTGTCCAACTGATGTCCATTTCCAGCTGCATCTTAGCCGGAAGTTACGAAAGAAGATATACGGATTAATTAAGATTCACTTTTATTATTTTCCTTCCCCACGGAACCATTCCGTGGGCCTTACTCCTGCAGGAGGCCCTGACGTGGCCCTACTCCAGGCATTTGAAGCACTGGATGGGGCGGCTGCTCAGAGCCTCCACGCGGACGGAGGATCACCCGACGCGTATGCGTCCTCCGTCAGCAATCTTCTTCGCGACCGCAAGAGAACACCGTAACCAGAGCGTCACCATGCGGTCGGGTCCAAGACGGATCTCCCCGGCCTTAATTTCTCCGGGCCCGCAGCCCCCGGCGACCGCCACCGCGGAGATTACGTCCTCCACGGTGGCCGCGTCGTCTAGGTCCCGGACCCGGATGTCGGCCCTCTTTGTGGATCGCGCTATCCGCACGTCCTTTTTGTCGGCGAAGAGGGCCGACATTCTGTTAGCCAGGGCGTCCGCCCTGGCGTGTCCTTCGAAACCGGGGATCTCGAGGACCAGCGCTCCAGTGACAGCCTTTCTGGTCCTGAGATCCCCGATCCCTAATTCTTCCAAGTTTATTTGGCTCCTCGCCCGCCGCATCACGTCGGCGTAGCCGCCAGCAGGGCAGCTCACCGTAACCGCGAGGAACCTTGGGGAGGGCGGGTTTATTCTCGTCCCCCGCGCCTCGGGAGTTCTTCCGGTCCTTGTTGCTCCCCTTGGTCGCGGCGCTTTGCTTCGGACGCGGCTTTTGGGGGGCGGGTTGGGAGGTCTATTTGGACCTCCCTCCTCCCTGCTTCTCCCTTCTCCCTACCACCCGGGCCCAGGATTCGGACCCGGCCATGGGAGGAGGGGAGTGATTGTGGGCCCCCGAGGACTGCGGTATCGCAGCCTTATTCCGAGAGGGCGGCCTACTTCCTACACAAGAGCAGCAGGGGGCGACCGTCTCCTTATGAGACTGCTGGCCGCCCCCGCTGCTCTCCTTTTTCTCTTCCTTCTTTTTCTTTCCCGACTTCCTCCTCCCCCATTATCGGGGGTGGAGGTCGCCGGGGATCGAGGCGGGTGCTGGGGGGCTGGAGAGACGCCGCACGTTCCACCTCCGCAGCCGCCCCACTCTTCCCTTTTTGGGAGGCTTTTTGTAGCCTCGCGGGCCGCTTCCCGGCCAGTTCGGGGAGTTCGGCCCGCAGGGCCTCAACAATGCGGGGAACTAGAGCCGTCACCAAAGCCTCTAGATCCCCGCTGGTCGTCCCTGACGTTGCGCAGGCTCGTCCTCTATCCGGGCGAGTCCTCCGCTCGTCACTCGGCCTCATCTGCGGGGGCGTTTCCCCGTTGGCCGTCATCACCGCCGCAGCCTTATTTTTCCGGCCCTTAGAGGGCCGGTTGGCTCCTTCGCCGAGCCCGGCGCGCGCCTATAGGGGAGGGGCGCTTCCCGGGGGGAGTGTCCCCCCCGCAATGTCGCGCGCCACTTCCTCCCGGCACCGTCTCCCAATCTCCGTCTCCTCGGGAGTATGGGCTCAACGGGCCCGGCGACCCCCCTTGTCGTCCTCTCCTCGTCGCTGGAAGTGGAGGGGAGGCGCCGGGCTGCCCTTTTCTTTTTGGTACCAACGGGAGAGGGCGGGAGTCCTCCTCCACGTGTCCCGTCCTTTTTCTTTTTCGGTCTGCGGAGGAGTCCCTACTGTTGGGACCCCCCCGCAGCCACGTCCTAGAGCTATCACTCTCAGCCCCGTCCACCTTCACGGCTGACGGGGCCACGCCTCGCGTCTCGTTGGAGGGGTCGGGTCTACGGGCCATCTCCAGCTCTCTCATGAGGTGGTCGACTTTTATGCGGAGCAGCGCGCCCTCCGCCCTAAGGCGCTCGCGCTCCTCCGCATCTGCCGCCACCTGGCAGCCTCACCCGTGCCAGATTCGTCGGCATTGCTGGCCCTTTGTACTAGGGCGAGGCTGCACGCGGCCAACCTGGCCGCCGCGCTCCAGAGGGCCCCCCTGTAGACCCCATTTAGGTTTCGGGACCTCTCCGCTACCTTTTTGATCTCGTCCACGGCTCTTAGCGCCATGGACGAGACCTCGGCCGTCTGTTGCGACCGAAGGCCGCGGAGGATTTCGATCTGCTCCCTCTCCACTTGGAGGGCCCTCTGGGACGAAGGCCTGACGGAGGGATCCGCTATTTCTGCCGCCAGTACTTCATCCCCCTCCTCCTCCCCCAGTCTGTCGCTTTGGACGACCAGCGCGCTGACCCCATTTCTGGAGCCAGCACCCGGCCGCCCGCCCGCGATTCTGTCCGAGCGCCGGCGCGCCGGAGACGAGGACGGCGACCTGGTTCGGCCGCCCCCAATATTTCCGCCGCCCCGGCCCTCCGCCGACGTGGAGGCTAAGGCCTCGCCGGGCTCTCTGCCTACAGGGGAGGCAGCCGTACGCCCACGAGAGGCGGACCTCGTTCGCCGTCCCACCACGTCGAAGGGCCGCGCGAAGGAGAAGGAGGCCTCGACGGGCACCCCATCCCCCCCCTCGCCACCGCTTGCCGACATAATGTCGGCTTCTGCTTGAGGGCGGCTGGTAATCGGCACGCCCTCCTCCCTGTCCTTTCGCGAATCTGCGGCTGCAGATTCACGTGGGACCACAGCCGAACCTGTGAACCCCGAGGCCACCGGTGACCTGGTGGTCTCTCCCTCCTCTACTACATCGATGGGTGTAATATCCATGAGTAGTTTATCCCGCCAGCCCTGACGACTCGGACTTCCGGCGTATTTCCCATCCTCCCCTTCCAAATTGAGGAGGGAGGATGCCCGGCGTACTAGCCGGGAGAGGTCCTATGCCACTGGTCCCCAGGAATTCCGCACAGGGACACTGGACTCCAGCCCCCTATTTACGCCCCAGTCCACAAGGGACTGAACCGCTTTCAGGGGTTTCGCACTTCCGACCGTGCCGGCACCGTCAGGGGCGCCGCCACGCGGGGGGCCCCACGAACGGACCACGGCGAAAGGTTGTTGCGACTCATCCATGCCGGGAGCGGTGCACTTGGACACGGTGCATTTGGACACAGCCAATCACAGCACCGTGTGATTAGAGACATTTGTAGGGTCCCTTGGAACAGCGACTTGTGATTGGACTGTGTCCAATTGCCCCGTGTCCAACTGATATACACCCTCCATGCCGCGTACCGCCGTGGGCGCCAGCTGATGCTCCGCCCGGGGGCACGACTTTACCATGTCGCAATCGCCGCCCCCCAGGCTTTCCGCTGTAAGGGCCCACCCGACCGACCGCCCGATCGGCCGCGCCGACCCCTAATACTCTCTCGTCGCAGCGGCCGCCCGAGAGAGAGAAGACCGGTTGCCATACTGGCATTTGGGACCCGGCCGCCTCCGCTGTGGGGAACAGCTCGCCGCCCTTAATGGATGGACCGGGCCCGCTCACCTCTCCCTTAGTACTCCCGTGCGCAGCTGCCCGCACGAGAGAAGATCGCCGACATGAGATGCCGGCGCCAGTCCCAGGGTGTCCGACCCAAACCTCGAAATACATTCGAGCGGCCCGGACAACCCTCCACCCCCCGCGTACCGTGAGACGCGCCACCGGTGTGCAAACACGGGTGTGGGTTCCTTCCCCCCGTCCGTCCGTCGGCTGTCGCTGACGTCGGACGGTTCGAGGGCATCCCGCTCTCTCTTGGCTGCCGGAGAACCAGCGTGCAATGTCTTGAGATACGGGATCATCTCCTCCCCCGGGGTAATCTGTCGTCCCGGAGCAGAGGCCCCCCCAACCCCAAAATCCCCCTCCGAAGGCTGGTGGTGGAGCGAGCTCCATCTAACGGCCCCAGCCGGCCGAGCGATTGGAGTCAGGGCCGCCAACCCCTACAGGCAATTGGGTCCATCGGCCCTGTGAGAGTTGCCGGGCTCCCCTGCAGTGGAGGGTCTTACGACCCCTCTAGCAACCGCAGGCTGTAGCCCACCGCGGTACGGTTTTCTGTGGGGGTTTTCCTTCGACGTTGCCGCCGTTCGCCAGCGATCCTCAGGTAGGGGCCTCCCTTCCGGCCGAAGCCGAAAGGTACTGCCGCCGAGCCTTCATCGGATCGCCGGTACCCCTCTACCACGATAAAGTGGCGGCATGGAGGGGACGGACATACCTACTAAGCCGTTCGAGAAATGCGCATTAGACATAATAGGACCTCTCACTATAACAAAAAATGGAAACAAGTATCTTATAATATTTCAGGACGCTTTGACCAAATTTAGTAAAGCTATCTCTATATCGAATCAAGAGGCGACCACTGTTGGGAAAGTATTTACAGAAAAAATAATATTAGAATATGGAATACCGGAAAAAGTACTAACCGATCAAGGAACACACTTTCTGAGTAAAATTTTTAAATCAGTATGCAAATTATTGAAGATAGAAAAAATTCATACTACGGCGTACCATCCACAGAGTAACGGAGCATTGGAAAGATCACACCGAACACTCACAGAATACCTTCGACATTATATAAACAGTGATCAAACAGACTGGGACGAATGGATCCCATTCACAATCTTTACGTATAACACGACTCCTTATTCTACAATCAATTATACTCCGTTTGAACTGATATACGGACACCAGGCAACCCTACCATCATCCATACTAGTACCGCCAAGAACTACGTATAGTATTGAGAATTATGCGCAGGAAATAAAACAATGGCTCCGAGCAACGAATCAAATAGCTCGGGAGCAGAAGAAAAAGTGAAGTAAAATATATTATAATCGAAATATGAAAAAGACTGTATTCCACATAAAAGATCAAGTACTATTACATGACGAGACAGTACGACGAGGAAGATCGAAGAAATTAGACTCTATTTGGATAAGACCCTACGAAATAATTGAAAAACACCCTAACGAAATACTACACGTGAAACCGGACAAAATAATTCAAAATCTGTCAAAAATAGCGGAACTAAGCAAAAAGATAACGCAAACATATCATAATTTAGAAAATAGCTTGAACTTCTTGACACACTATAAAACATAATATATACGACAGCACCGAGTGGAACCGTGATAATAGTAGTTGTAATTGCAATATTCATAGTAAGAAAAATAAAAAAGGGAAGAAACCCTCCAGTCATAATAGAACATAATAACCAGCGAAACGTAAGAACACGTTCCAAACCTATATCTTGTCATGTATCACGGAAACCCGCTTAAAATTTTTCCCTCCAAATCCCTTTAAGTCCAGAAAAACCTTCAAAATTCCAAAAAATCCTCTAAGTTCCCACGTCCGCCACGACTATACTTCTCCGCTAAAACTTATCCCTCCAGCACAGACAACTAAAGAACCTTTAGATACAAGGACGACACTTTCCTCAATAAGCCCACCGACACGAGTGCCACCTTGTTAGGTGGAAACTAAGTTAGCAGGCCATAAGCCACGCCGATAGATAAAGCCGACGACAGCGCCACCTGGATAGCTAAACCCGACGACAGCGCCATTTGGATAGCTAAATCCGACGACAGCGCCACTTGGATAGCTAAAACCGACGATAACGCCACTTGAATAGCTAAAACGACGGTAGCACCATCGAAATAGCTGAAAACTAAGATAGCGCCATCCGGCTAGGCAGAAACTAAGTA